TTCAGAATTTACTGAAACGTTTCCACCTGTCCACCAGCACATAACCCAGCGACCAACAGTACAATTTAGTGCCTTGACACACATTTCACGGGGTACGTTTGGTATTACACCTTTTAATCTTTTCTTGAGTTCTCCGATCTCTCTAACTGTTTTTGCTATACACGCGATCCTTTATCATACCCCATAACCAGAAATCAGATCAGGGGAGTGTGGTGGCCATGTCAACGGTCCGCCACGACCTATACAACAATTTGGGAAACTGATCTAGACAAGCGCGAACAGCACGGGCAAAATGAGACGGCGCAGAATCCTGTTAGAAATAACCTGCTCGTCTGATTTGCAGGGGTATGTTATCAATGGAAAACTCTTGCAAGATTTGTGAGTAAGCATTTGCAGTGTTGTAAAGAAATATGAGCCCATTACACCTTACGATAGGCGAAACTATCTACTCATATTAAATTGACGAAGAAATGTGCAAGGTTTCGCAATTGTAAACCCTGATTAAGTGACGCGCTGCGAATTGGTCACCATGCTGAGTATAACGAACAATTGTCTAAAATCTGTAGTTCCTTAGTTGAATTGGTAGAGAAAATGAATTCAAACCGTTCAGCATTTCAATGTCATCTGCGATACGTGGGAGATAGGCAGAATTTTGAAGAACAGGTTTCAAAGATATCGAAAAATGTAGAACAAGTTTCTGGATTTTCCCTACTCCCTATGGATAAAGACATTCCGGACGAGTGACTGCCGAATGAATGATGGATAATCTGCAAGAAAACAATGCTCTGCTGAGAACTTTTTAGCACGCGAGAATTGTGTAAAGCGCAAACCAAAATGAATCGCCTTTGAAGAAAGGTGTGGAAGTCTTTGAAAATTAAATGTCTAATGATACATCGAAATCCGAAGGCGCTTTGGAATAGTGGGAATTGTTTTCTGAAAACTAAGCAAAATATAAAGAAACAAGAAAACGTCGTTAGAAGCAATGAAAAGAGTGCTGAAATGTTATGTTTTATTGGTCATCCTATATGTGAATGCTGGACATTTTCCTCATAGCTGAGCAAGAGACTTCAAACGATAGAAAGGTAGTTCTACAGAAGGATGCAGAGAATACAATGGACAGGACGTGTGAGTAACGGCGAAGTTTTAAGGAAAATGTAAACAGCATTTTCGTATATTTAAAATCAGACAGTTAAAAGCTTGGGGTCGCATAATGAGGAAAAAGTGCTTAGTAAAATCGGCACTCAGAGGACGCAGTGAATACAATAAGAACAGAGGAAAGCAGGAACTAACCTACCTATCCATCTTGTGTAAATGGTTGACGGAACAGATATTAGCAGAAATAACAAAAAGACAAATTTTACTAAGACTGACAAAAGACAGGATACTGTGGTGGATTTATGATCTCTAACGACCTGAAAGAACATGTTGCATAAAAGAAGAGCTCCAAGAGTAAATTAAGATCGGAAGGAAAGAACTGAAGATTATAGAGCATCTAGTGAGAAAATAGGGTTTCGAGAATTGGGCAGTCACAGGATATATTGAAGGCAAATGAGACAGAGTAATGCAGTGAATTATTTACTTAACAAGCTTCTATAAGTGAACAGCGTAACGGTATGTATGAAAAATAGCTAATATTTCTTCAAACTTTTCTTTTGTGACAAGGATAATGATATTCCTGAAATTTACCTCGTCCTGGGTATGACGATAAATAACATCAGGCATCGAGTCCTCTGATTGGGTGGTTTTGAAGAGCGTGGAACCATCTTTTAATTGCTGTAGTTGTAAAGTCCACTGTTACTGTTGAAACTTGACTAATGCATGGAATAATAATGCAACACAAAATGTACTTAGAACAAAATGTATTGAAACAAGAAAGTGGACACAATATCTACATATAGTCTTTTGTATATTCCTGGTAAGACCGTTCCTGGAGAATGTGTTGACTGAGTCGCAGTCGGGCAGAGTCTCTGGTTGAATCTCTTGATTCCTCCCTCTCTTCCCGGTACCAGCCATATTTATATGGTCGGTACTCCACTATGCAAATTAGGTGGATCCTACCACAACACTTACCCTGGGTGGTAGCACTTGTCAGGGTAAATGGACCCCCAAAACATTATGAAAATATAAGTTTACATATTTTTTTCGTAAGAATATCAACAATACATTATTGGAAAAGGAAGAGAAAAATTACAAGCAATACATTTTTGAAAATAAATTTACCAAAGCTTCCAAGAAAATTAAATTTTTGGTATTAAATGACCCATGAGGAGTCGATATGCCGTTAAAAAACCTAACCTGAAATTTTCCTATTCCCATTGGTAAAGCTGACAAATGTGAATATTATTTACATTATTCGGACTATTGTCCTTATCTTTGTCGCCATATTTATTACAACGTTTCGGCCGTTGTACGCTCCGACCTTCTTCAGGTGGTTGGAATGTCGAACTGAACCTTTTATTTCTCTAACAGGAGTAGAGTCTTATAGTTCCACGTGCTATGTTTAATGGATGTCAATTATCCGTTATCTCCCCTTAATTTCACTCTGAATGTTCTCCACTGTCTTAGCCGGGTATTGAACTCATACTCTTTGGGTCCTGTCACTGGATCTAACCAACGCCTTTATCCACTGTACCATGTGTCCTTGTGAATATTAACGTTCGGGCAAAGCAGGGAAAAAACGGCATATGATTACAAAAGTAGCATTTATTTATTTAGGATTATACAGGGGATCCCACAAAATTTTAGAAGTGAGTGATTTTTCGCGATTTACGCTTATACAGTCAATTACTTTCACGAATCAGGCCAAAGAATAGTCTCCCATCGTTTTTCGCTATACGATCCTTGTTAATCAGAACATTCTAGAAATTCTTTAAACTTTTAGAAACTTCTTAAAAGTTCTTGAAACTTTAAGAAAGTCCTTACACCAACTGAATTTTTCTGGAGTGTAAGTTTCAAAACATCGATGTTCAGACGATAAAAGCAAAGATTGAAATAAATAATAGGCATTTTGTTTGTATTCTATAGAAGAGCAATTAGGAAATTATAATTACTAACCAAAGACAGATAAGGTAAAAGTTTCTTAGTGTTATGATTTTAAATGATAGTGCTTTAAGAAATATTTTGGCAGTTGTCATCAGAACTTGAAGGTAAGAATTGATCAGCATTTACAAGATAAATCCGCAACTGAGACTGTTAAAATTTGCACCTGCTTATTAATACTTACGCTACTGCGATTTCAGAACACCTAATAAATAATCCGACTGATGCTTCATCTTCTGACAATGACTCATATATAAAGGACTATTCAGTTTTCATTGCGTAGAAAAACAAAACATGAGAATGAAAAAAAAAAAAAAACAAAGAAGGGAAGATAGATTTGTTTAATGGCCGCTTTAGTGAAGGAGAAAAATTTGTCAGTTTCAATTATGTTATTTGTACCCTTAAAAATAACGACAACCATTCATATATGTGATTGTTGTTGCAATAGTTTCTTAAAGATGTTAAGCTCAAATATTTTAATGTTGTGACAGGGGGATTTCTACGGAGAGTTTATATATAACTCGCAATCAATAACTGAAGAATTCATCAGAATAAAAATATAGGAAAACTGTGAAACCTTCACAGATCTTTCTAGGAATTTATAATAATCTAACTCACTGTGGCACCATGCATCCAGGCGATTTGAAAGATATATTTATAGATATATGATTTGCTTTTTTACGGTTTATCAACCATTTGAGGATTATTTAAGGCCGAAATGTATTTTAGGTTTTAAGAATAATTCTTTTTTTTTTTGCAAGAGGATTGAACCGCCATGCATTCAGGCGATTTGGAAGAAAGAAAGAGAAAACGAAGAAGAGGGAAAGGAAAAAGTAATACGAGACGGGTCATAGGCAAACACACACACACACACGGCTTAAGAGACGGGAATAAGAAAGAAAAGGTTTATTTTTGATAGATATCAAATATCGAAAATATCTAGGTCACCTGCGAACAAGCGTTGACCGATTTCCGCATATCCGCGAAAAATGGAATTGTGTTATCAAGAGATGTCACCAAAAAAGAAATCCATTTTTGAACGTTAGGTTTTGATAATTGACGAAACACAGGCAGTCTTGGCTGGGTATGGAAAATTAAAATCCCACCCAAGTAGTTTCACTGGCTAAGGTTTTCTTTTGACAGAATAGACTTTTGCCCTGCGATAATAAAAATTTTGTTATCAACACATGAACCGAATGAAACTGACATATTTTTATTTCTGCTTTGGGAGACGCCAAATTGGCGACAAACTTGGAGAAAATTCCTTTCTTAGACCATGTCAGATAATCCATCTGTCCAGTGAATTGGCGATAAACTGCTTGATAAACGCCACGTGTTGAACAAAGAGTTGTCATATTATCCGTTCATGATAACGGCGATTTAATTAATTTTTTTTAAGTTAAGCAAGGTATTTCTTTTCCAAAACAAAGCCACGGGTTGTTCACGCCCGACTAAGACGTCATTGGCCAAGTGGATCACATGACGCACGAAGGAGGAAAGATACCCGACCAGGACCTCATTGGCCGAGAGTGGTCACGTGACGCACGAAGAAAATCAGTCGACGCCCCTATCCAGAATATAAGTATGAGAAGCCGCTACGAAGAAGTGGGGAGGGAAGTTCAAGCCCCTCAGAAGCATGGCGAGAATGTGGGAGTGAGGAAAGAGTTACCAAAAATGGAAAAGAGTGGAAAATCCCTGACCAGAAATAAGAAGGGTGGATATGTATTTAGAATTATCGAAGAACCCCTGGCGCCGACAGACCCACCCCGGTTTTGACGGCGTCAATAAAAACGAAGCCCCACCAGACAGAAATCAGTTCGTTCGCCCCAAGCGGGCAGAAGAGGCCAGTTCGTTTGGCCCTGAGTGCCGAGTTCAGCCCCGGATGGCAGAGATGAGTGCCCAGTAGTTCGTTCGCCCCAAGCGGGCAGAAGAGGCCAGTTCGTTTGGCCCTGGTGCCGAGTTCAGCCCGGACGGTGAGAGATCAGTGCCAGTAGTTCGATCGACCCAGGCGGGCAGAGAAGAGTTCGTTTGGCCCTGAGTGCCGAGTTCAGCCCGGTTCGATTGCCCAGTAGTTCGTTCGCCCTAGCGGGCAGAAGAGGCGAGTTCGTCGGACTCTGGCAGGCAGAGTTAGTTCAGCCCCGGACGGCGGAGATGAGTGCCCAGTAGTTCGATCGACCCGGGCGGGCAGAGAAGACAGAAGTTCGTCGGACTCTGGCAGGCAGAGTTAGTTCAGCCCCGGACGGCAGAGATGAGTGCCCAGAGTTCGTGCACCGACGGCAGAGATGAGTGCCCAGTAGTTCAAGCCGCCTCAAGATAGCTGACCAAGATTCACGCACAATTTTTGGACTCTTCTTCAACCAAGAACAATTAGTTTGAAGAGCGACTTAGAACCAGACCATAGAAATAAGTTTTTCGACTTTCGTCCAAAGACACACCGAAACACAAAATTCTTGGAGAGCAGACAACTTGAAGCGTTAAAATTTGCCTAGCGAAAGCGTCGTGCCACAATCCACAGAACGGGTCGGGAGGTAGACACTGTCCTATGTACCGAACAACTAGACATAAAAAGTTTGTTACCTTTTTCTTTGATTCTTTGAACTTTGTGAGTTTTCATTTTATTTTATTTTATGCATATTTGTGTGTTATCACCCCCGTTGGACTCAGCTTGCATTACGGCCCCAACCTCTGTTTGATCTCGTCTGTCTCAAGATCAATTCACAACGTGGGTAGGCAGACTGGAGATCAGTGCAGTTACCCTGATAACCAGGCGTTGGAAGCAGGTTGGGAACGGCGAGGCTGATATCAAATCTAACCAGATTCCACCCGAATCACCAAAGGGTTAGAACGTCACGTTTGGAGCAGCGAGGAGCGAACAGCTGGCGCCGCGGCGAAGACGTCACAATTGGTGCTGTTTAGGGACGTCACATCTGGTGTCGTGACCGGGATAGGACCCTGGAACGACCACGTCACAACTGGCGCCGTGGTAGATCAGGATAGAACGTCACAGTTGGCGCTGCGACCGGGGGACGATGTCACATCACAATTTCGTCCATACATTAGGCTGATTCATCAGTGATTTCCGTTTTCGTCCATTGACTTTATTCTTACAACAAAATAATGTACACTTTACATTGTATCCGATTATACGGGGTGTGTCCAAATTATACAAACACTACTCCGAGAGGATGAATCCAAATTATGCTAACACTACTCCGAGAGGATGAATCCAAATTATGCAAACCCAACCCCGAGAGGACGAATCTAAATTATGCTAACACTACTCCGAGAGGACTAATCCAAATTATGCTAACACTAGTCCGAGAGGATGAATCCAAATTATGCTAACACTAGTCCGAGAGGATGAATCCAAATTATGCTAACACTAGTTCGAGAGGATGAATCCAAATTATGCTAACACTAGTTCGAGAGGATGAATCCAAATTATGCTAACACTAGTTCGAGAGGATGAATCCAAATTATGCTAACACTAGTTCGAGAGGATGAATCCAAATTATGCTAACACTAGTTCGAGGGGATGAGCCCAAATAATGTTTTGAAAAAAAATCCATAAAAAATAAGATGAAAGAAAAAATGTGCCTTAAGTTAAATAGTGATGTTAGATGGTTCCATGGAATCGAAGTAGAATACCTCGTCAAACACATGGAACCTGGGATTACAGTTCCTTCGAGATAATCGTTTGAAAATATTAGATTGAATGCAATTATGCAGATTAAACAAGGTCAGTGCACTCACACTTGTTGAAAGGAAATAATTAGTAAAGAAAATATTTTAATAGTCAGCAAGGTAGACTCGTACATCATTAGTAGTCATTTCCATCATCACGAGCTGAACTGTATCACTTGACTTTGTGCCAAAGTTCAGCTCCGCCTAGCAAACAACAATTTTTTTTAGCACGTGACCTGTAGGCTCGTAGTAGCACCATGTGTACTGCAGTCACTTTAGAGGTGGTGTTTCTTGTGCAAGATAGACCGACGGAGCCCAACCATCTCCAGGCTGGTTTTGAATTCAGTTTTTCCTCCCCCTAGACCGGTTGCCACCCAAGGCTATAGAACCCAATCTGTCCTACTATTTACCCATAGCTCGGAGGAGAAGAAGTGGATTCATACCTTTCCCTACGTTATTAGCACGAATGTAATGGATTCGACTGGAATTGGAACTCGGCTCTCCGATTCCTCAATCCAACCCACTATCCTTTACTCCACCGTGCCTCCTGATGAGCAGACTGAAATAGATAGATAGATAGATAGATAGATAGATAGATATGGACAGACTGATATGTAAGTTATGTGCCATACGTGATATGGCGTTCGTGATTAGGCGATCATGTATCTTTCGATACATGATTGACGAGGCAGATTTTTTTCCCGAAGTAGTTTGCCATGTCTTTCTGCGGTAGACCAGTTGCCATCCAAGGCTGTATAACCCGGTCTCTCCTGCTATTTACCCATAGCTGGGGTGAGAAGAAGAGGGTTTCCCAAGGGTATTAGCACGTTAGTGAATGTAATGGATTCGACTGGAATTGGAACTCGGCTCTCCGATTCCGCAATCCGAGCCGCTCTCCGTTACTCCACCCTTAGCTAAGGTTTATTAAAGGCTTAAGGACAACAGGAGCGAAAAGAATAAGGCAGATGACATTTCTGAAGTAATGACGACCTAGAGAATTCAATACTCACATTGATAAATAAATGACACAGTATTAAGAACTGTAGTAGAGCAGAAAAAATATTCTATACTTTGATTGTCCCACCTAGCTAAGTGGATTAAACACTTGGTCGTGAATTTGGTGACATAATAAAATTATTTTTATCTATCGACTGGGTAGGGAAAAATTGGACTGTGGATACACGGTGGTCGATATTTGAGCAGTGTTAAATAAGAAATACAACATATCATTTAAAGAAAAAAGGATCTGCAGAACCAGAGCAATATATCTCTGTAGATTAACAAAAAGAAATTCTATGAAGCTTATACGGATCGTCAAATTCCTGATGAAGGCCGTGAAGCACAACGGCCGAAACTTGTGATAATAACAACAAAGGTGAGGATATTAGTCCGCATGTAAGTATTGTAAATAATTAACTCATACTCAAGAAGACAGAAGCAGTAACAAATAGAGTAAGTAAATTATAGACAACAAAATTATAGAAAGTGGGGAGAGCCATAACCGCCCACATCCTAAAGAATCATTATACATAAAAGAAGAATCCATTGTGAACCGTTTACGCCCGTATTCATCTAAGCTGAGTCTGTTGTAAATTTATTAGTGTACTACACTTTGTGATAACCGAATTCACTACATTATTTGTGGTTACCAAGTTCCAAAGCAATATGGCGACTATCTAAAATTTTACTGATAGATAAATTTTCCTTGGATTAAGAATCATATATATATATATATATATATATATAGAGTGGTAACTCAGGATATGTATGTTCATGACCCTCCACAGCTTCTTTACAGTTTAATACATGTAAATAGATGTAGATGATAATGATATCCGCAGCTTTCGTTTATTATCCTTTAAGTGTCATAACTTTTTGAAAAGGATAAAAGAGTTTCTACCCGCAGCAGTCCTTCAGAATTTTACTTCTCTTAGACTCTTGAAAACTCATGGCTTGAGAGCCTCTTCTGTTCTTTTATTAAATTCCTAAGAAATCGGTTGGTAAGAGATGAATTCATGCCTTTCTTCCGGGCATTTGTGCTAAGCGTATTCAATATAATATATGCGAGAATTTGAACTTATCTTGTCGATTTATCTCGGAGAAAGTCAATAAAGAAATTCTTAAAAAGACGTCATTGAACGTACACTATTTATATTATTCGGATTATTGTCCTCATCTATGTCAACATATTTATTACAACGTTTCGGTCGTTGTACGCTCCGGCCTTCTTCAGGTGGTTGGAATGTCGAACTGAACCCTTTATTTCGCTCACTGGGGTAGACTGTTCTAGTTCCACGTGCCATGCCTGAGGGATGTCAGTTATCAGTTATTTCCCTCTGAAAATTCTCCACTGCCTTAACCGGATATTGAACTCACACTCTTTGGGTCCTGTCACTGGATCTAACTAACGCCTTTATCCACTGTGCTATGTATACTTGAGAACCACCTGAAGAAGGCCGAAGCGTACAATAATGCTGTAATAAATATGGCGACAAAGATGAGGATAATAGTCCTAATAATGTAAATAGTGTACATAATACCTCATCTCAGAAATATAGACAGATGTCTTTGAACGTTATAAGAATTCGGTGAAAGAAAATAAAGGAATGTTCTTTTTTTAACGTGTAGTGTTGTATTCAAATCCACTTCAAAATATAATAAACGGAAGTTGAATTTTTTGACTACTTACATAAATATAAATACGAAAAATTATCTACGAATAAAAATCCCTATTAGACAGCAGTAATGTCTGCGTTGATTCATAAACGCCCCAAGTAATTCGGGATTTGATTTTCAATACATTGCAATAATTAAATCATTTACATTACATAAATATAATAAAATGTTTGTAAGGCGTTTATGCCGAAAAAATATTTGCAATAGTTAATCCATATAATCACAGCTATGATCGTTTTAAATCAGTACACCCCCTGCAACTAAGTAAAAACACTTAACCATAAAGGATTAATGAATATGAAAAAAAAAAAAAAGAGAAACATTATTAAGGGGTGGGAACAATAGAAAAGTAACCAAGAAGACGATAGATAACGATTGACATTGCATTAAAATTGTTGAAGATCAAAGTTGGTTGGAAAGCATGGAGCCGGAAATGAGTTCCACAAACAGGAAGTCCGAGAAAAGAAACAGTTAGCATAGAACAAACGGTTATATCTAGCAAACTCAACTCTGAATTAATGAGACCTAGCCGCCAATCTAGTACTGCGCTTACATTCATAATGTCTAGGTATCATCGTGAAGAGTTCACACGAATAATTAC